GAATTGAATGAGTTGCAATAAACGAATTCACGTAGCCAACCCCAAATTTATTTTACCTTTTGTTTTGTTTTGTTTTTTTTTTTTGGTGTGGGGAGGGGGTGTCCTGTGGAATGAGGTGAGTCTATTAAGATACTTTCATAAGGCATCCTTTTATGGCTGTCCTGATGTGTTATTTTGGGAATGATAATTGAATTATAGTTCTGGTTTGCATCTGGCCTTTAGTTGTTTCAAGCAGTTTTATGCTTCATTGTGTTCCAAACTTCTCATCAGGTTCTGCGTGATCTGAACGTTGAGAAAATGGTAATACCCGCAATATCTGAACTAAACGAAACATGGACAAAAAATTTTCACTTTTCACCCTTAGAAGAATCAAAGAGACGAGAGATGAGGACCATGAGTATGTTGGTGTTCCCAGGGACTGATATGTTACAGAAGCCTCTACTGAAGCATCAGGTCGCTGAATGGCAAAGGACTGCTGCAGGTATTTTGCATATATTTGCGTGCATTACATGTTTGATAAGCATTATAGGACACAACTGAATGATATAATGAACAAGATTTATTTATTATTATTATTTAATTATAACGCAATGCTATCTAATTCTCGTTTCCAAACATGCATGTAGAGTTCAAATTAGTTGCATATCATTGTTCTTAGTTCCTTCTCTTCCTTTTAAGATAAGAAGTTGACTGAAGCTCGAACTGTGCATCAAAATATGCAAGAGCCTAATGATGATATTGGTGGTGTAGCTCCTGCACCTGATGTTCCCATTTCCTCAGAAGTCGAAATCCAGAATCTTAATGAACCTGCTGCTATTGAATCTCGTGCCAATTTACCTGATTGCTCCAACAATCCATCCGACATTAACATTTGGACGGTTGAAGAATCTCTTAGCCATGAAAATGAAAAGTGTCTTGACCATGTTACCACAGCCAATGATGACAATCCTCTTGCAAATTCAAAAACCTCCACAAGTGATGCTCAGCTTGAGACACAGATACCCGTTGAGGAAATCAATAATTGTTCGAATGGTATTATCCCTGATGGGAAACTCGTGAAATGTAACTAACGAAATGCACATGGACTGGCGAGCTGAAAAAAGCAAGGAGAATTTGCTTTTGTTGTAGATTGGGAGACGAGAGAAACAAGTAATGTTTTCAACTGGATGGCTGTACTATTTGCAACGTTAAGTTTTCTCTTGTACTCCATTTATTTTTGGATAGTGTATGAATTTGTTTTTAAGATATATTGTCTATAATTAGCGTATATAGAATGGTAATCCTCTTTTAATAAAATTGATATAATATTTTAATAAAAAGATGAACTAAAAAGAATGTAAGATTTAAACCTTTGCTGTCAACTCTTTTTTTCTATGTTTTGTTTCAAAGCGGACACCGGGGGCTTGTGCCCCCAACTTTGCTTTGCTATTTTTTTTTATCTTTTGTTTCAATTTTCGAAATTATTATAAAATGTGAAACGAACTCGAATTATTGCATTCTTAATATCATTCTGAAGTGCTCACAGTCTAGTTTTTTATGTCGTGAACGGCGTGTGAAACGATCAATCGTAGCAAATGTTACGACTTGTCAAAGTAGGGGTTTAAAATTAGTATTTCGAGAATTTCGATAACATACTTTAAAAATTCTCCGACAATCGTACGGTGGTCGAATCTACAAATCACTTATATCATCTCAATGCTCATTTCGAGAACTACATTATAGACATATTGAATAGTTCAAACAGATATCGAAAATAGTTAAAGATGCGTTGAATGTACGTTTTAAAGAGGGGAGTCTAACTCGCATTTTTTTTTAAAATTTTAATTATTTCATTAACATTTATTATTTTTGTGATACAAATTTATCAATGTAATTTGCATTATTTTATTAGGAAATTTATATAGGATATAACCTCAAAGATTTTCGAAATTTTATNTTTTACATCCGGAAAAGTTATATTCTATGTAAATTTTCGGATGCAAAATTACAAGGGGTATGATTTTTTTAGATATAAATTTTTGATTGTAAAATTTCTCCCAACTTTTTTGCAAGTTCGATTGTGTCCCCAACTTTAATTGTCTGCGTCCGCCCCTGAAACTGCACTAGGCAAGCCCGATGCAACGGGCTCGACCGAGAAAGTGTTGGTAGGGGATTCGAATTCGTGACCTTTGACTTTTAATATATGCATTGTTAAACTTAATGAAAGTTTACTAATTACCGTACTCATTTTGCTAATAAGTAGAGATTTTTTTTATGAAAAGAAAAGAAAGAGTCAAAGTAATACATAGACATCATGAAGTTTTAATATTGTTTTCAAGGACATTTAGGTATACTTAATCGCTAATTAGTCTCAAAGATGGTTAAAAAATAAATATGATATTTAAAATTAGAAATAGGAGAGATTTTGAACAATTAATCTTTTTAAATATAATTCTAATTCCGCCAGTGATGCTATGGAGAAGCTGACCGTCCAAAGAAACGGAAACTTGTAGTCAAGACACGCAGATAGAGCAGGAGACAGCTGCAAAAGAGGCCAAAAAGTGGATCATTGGACTGTGTTACTTTGTTTTTTTACCAAGGACATGTCCCCTTTTTCATGCACAATTCACGACTCACGAGAATCCATGTTTTTGATCCACAAATAGTATCGACGAAGTGGGGTGGGAGGCTCGAGTTTTTCATTTTTTCCCCTAAATTTTAAATTTTCAAATTTAATTTTTCGTTTATATGAACTTAGATAAAGACAGTTTTGTCCACTTTAATGTTTTCTTTGTGGACCGATTGATAATATTGTTATGAAAACAACAAGTCTCACGAGTTGAAATCCATCTCCCACTCCGTCCGATCCTGCCTCGTCGGGACGGAAAACATAGCTNTGCTCACAAAAAGTGAAAGTGACAAATGTTTTTGAATTTTCAAATTTAGTGACATTTTTTAAAATTCCCCTTGATAATATTGTTATGAAAACAACAAGTCTCACGAGTTTAAATCCATCTCCCACTCCGTCCGATCCTGCCTCGTCGGGACGGAAAACATAGCTCCCACCCCAAACCTTTATGATCACTTTTTTTTAAATTTTTTTTTATGTATTTATCATATTTTAAAAAAAATAAGTAAACATGAATATTTTAATCTACAACAAAAAGGTAATCCCGTCCCGCCACAGTGCCACACCTTGTTGTCATACCTAGAGTCAACTTTAACAATCCAAACAGTTTCCTGACTTTGAGTTTTGTTTCTTGAATTATTTAATTTCAAAATGGTCACCGAACTTTACGAGTTGTTTTAGGTAGTCATTTTGTGATATGACCTATTCCGAACCATTCAAACATGGTTTGCAACAAACTACACGACCCACTCGTAATCATCCTAGTAGACTCGGAATGTGACATGTCCTAATAATTCAAAATTGACGTGCACCATGACGGACCTTCAGCTCATATCACATTCTGAATCCACTAGAGTGACTCTAAGACGAGTCATGTCATTTGGTATTTGTTGCTAATTTCCATTAGATAGTACTCGAGCCAAATACAATGATCAGTTCAAAGAAAATTACAGGATTTAAATTTTTATAGAAATAAATTAAATATAAATGACTAAATTAAAATACCTCCATAAGGTAACATTTTGGATATTTTTTTTTTTGGGAAAAAAAAAATTAGAATTCGACCCCCCAAATCTTTCAGTGTTGTATGGATAAACCGATAAAGTAAGGTATCCACTTGATGAAAAATTTCAATGTCGACATTAAATTGCACAAAACTTAAAGATAGAGAAAAAATCGTCAAAGTATTATTCATCCAACTTTAAGTCACGTTAATGTCTAGTGTTCACATTGACTCAAATATATGAAGGAGAGAAACTGAATGATTCATCAGGGTGAAAAGGAAGTGCACAGAAGAAATTTACTGAGCGAATTTTACGGGAGCAATTATTCGGAAGTACGAAGCCCAATTGACGAGGGGACATTTTTTACCTCTCATTTTTTTGATGCCTCATTTTCATCATCATACCCATAGGCTCTGTTTCAGGACACTGTACTTTTTAACTTCTGACCTGCCCACTGCTGACTGAATGAAAAGCAAATGAATTTTTATTTATTTTTCAAAAAATATCTGTAATTTCATCCAGTTTTGGCGATTCCATTACAAAATGGTGCCAATTTTCTAAGGTTTGTGTTTAGCTGTATTTTCATTAATACTAACTTGTTGGATGTTAAATGCAAAGGTAACAGAGAAGTGAAATAGAAAAATCAACACAATTATTTAATGTGGTTCGACGTTGTGCCTATGTCCACAAGAAGCGACGTATAGATTTTTTTATTCAGTATGAATCATATGATTACATCATCAATATTTATACTAATCATAACTCAAGCCCAAGCCCAAACTCATACAAGACTTTAGAGTTTGTACAAGAAAAATACACTTGTACCGGCATCGACCATTTTGATCTAATAAATCAGTGTTTCACTCTATATGAGTCATATATACAACATAACTAAACTTAGTTTGTTCTTATTGCACAACGAGACATGGTATTTTATGCTTAACTCATCCCATAATAGATTTTCCGTTCGGTCGACTCCAAGATGACTTGTGCTAGTTGATCACGACATATTCTATAGCCAATTGACCTACTCCCCTCGACTCATTTTTGGTCGAACAATCATTCTTTCTAGGCTCCAAGGAGATATTTCATCCAAATTTGATTTAAGATAGAAAACACAAGGGTCCATGGATTTGTTTCTATTACCATTGATACCCTCCACAATAAGCCAAAGTTTCTCACTTTCCCGTGACTTGAACCAGCACAAAAGCTCATAAAAATCATAGCTTTACACATCAGTGATTCAGTCTCCACATGACTGCATCCATTGCTCCCCCCCCTTTTGTCACTTTCTCCTTACTTCCCCCTCTCAAACGCACGGAGTAAAAACTTATAGATTTATATACATATCTCTAGAGTGAAAGTAAGGCAACGAGGTGGAACCAAAAATGTCAAGTGTAAAACAAGGATCCCATTGGAAACAAACATCAAACCGTTGGTGTGCAAACGATAGCAGCTTCAATGGTTATGATTTTGGAGGTGGGTTGGTTCCAAATCTGACGCAAATGGAAGGGCTTAACAACGTGTACAACAGAAGTAGTGACAACATTGGTGTGTCGGACTTGGTAATGAAGAAGAGAGTTATGGTCGTGGTGGATCAGTCTTCACATTCCAAACATGCAATGATTTGGGCACTCACACATGTAACTAATAAGGGCGACATTCTTACTCTTCTTCAAATTGTTAGTCCTTGGAAATCTGAGGGTTGTGAGTTTTCCTCTCCTTGTCTTGCTACATCACTTGGATCCCTTTGCAAGGCCTGTAAGCCTGAGGTGAGTTTTTGTCTTTTATCAGCTTATGACATTAGTTTACTGATGAAAGCGACAAGTTTCATGTGTAATGGCAATAAAAAAAGTTACTTAAAATAACATTTACTTACTTTTAACCTTAACCAAACATGGGTTTTGTCCTGGCAATTCTCAGGTAGAAGTGGAAGCACTTGTAATCCAAGGACCAAAGATGGACACAATAATGAGCCAAGTGAAAAAGCTTGAGGTTTCTGTGCTAGTCTTGGGGCTCAACAACTCCCACCCTCCATTACTCAACTGGTGACTACTTAGTTATATTCCCTCGTATTTGTTCGTCCACACTACATTTCATACATGTATTTGGTACGCTTCACAATATTCATACGTTTATTTATTTTATTTTTTTCGGCAGTCTGTGCCTGAGAAACAGCACCGAGGAATTTGTGGAAGAGTGCATCGACGTTTTGGAGTGCTTGACAATTGGGGTTCGGAAGCAGACCAAGGGAGTTGGTGGATACCTTATTAGCACCCGATGGCATAAAAACTTCTGGCTATTGGCTTAGAGTAATGTTTACCGTGCAGTTTGGTACATATTACTCGACAATTGAACGATCAAAAACTTCTTACCAATCCTTTCTCCAAACAGTATAAGATGGGGAATAAATTTGTATTTTTCATTAAAGAACGTCTTTCTGTATCTTACCTTCAAATTGGGTGCATAAAAGGCCGTCTAGCTTTTTTGAGCTAGGTCCAAAAAGGGTCGAGGTCCAATCCATAAAAGGCCCATGGGCCTTAATTTTGTTTGTCATATTGTAGGGTTAATACCCTAAATAGTCACTAAACTTTGCTAAAAGTTCACATGAGGTCATCGAACTTCAAAACTTCTCTAATTAGTCACTGAACTTCGAAACTACCCTAAATACTCACTGAACTTTTCCAAAACCACCCTAATTAATCACTCAACTTTGCAAAAAATTCCTAGGAGTCACTAAATCATTGATGTATGAGGTCACAAGTTGCAAAGTTTGGTGACCTCCTAGTAAGTTTTAGCAAAGTTCAGTGACTATTTAGAGTAGTTTTGAAGTTCAGTGACTTCCTAGGAACTTTTTGTAAAGTTCAGTGACTAATTAGATAAATTTTGAAGTTCGGTGACCTCATGGGAACTTTTGACAAAGTTCGGTAACTATTTAGGATATTAACTCTCATATTGGACCATGCATGTTACAGACAAGCCTAGAACTGGGCCCATCAAGGTATTTGCTTTCAGGGTTAAGGGACGTGCAATTCATGATCCATCGTACATCTCTAATTTCGGTTTAAATAAAAATTGACATAATTAAAATGATATGAAAATCACCACCAACGTGCAAAATGTGTACTAAAACCTTGTAAAAGTGAATTTTGTTCAGATGCAACCACAGCAAAATAAACACAATTTGCATTACTGGAAAAGGGCTGGACTGGTACTGCACAAGTTAGTGTCAACGATATGCCATTATGCTATGACAAAGGGAGAGGGGAGGGATGTCCTCAGAGGCCATGAAACTGGGAATTAATATTAAGATATTGCCAAATCAATGGCATCTTAAGGAGTGCAGCATACACACCTCAAATTGCAATTAGATCGTGGACTTTTAATGTTCAAAAGTTTGTTATGAGATTAAATGTCCATGACTAAAAAGTAGACTGTAGTAATAGGAAACCAGGGGACGAAAGGAAGAAGTATTGATAGATTTTATCAGTATAACCTGCTCGGTGATTTCGCAACGACAAATACTATTCTCTTTCTATATCTTTCATCTATTCAGATCTTCCCAACTAGCAGACCTCCTGTTCGAGCACTACCATCTTGGTTTAAACTTTATCGTCTAATTTTTCATTGACTAAAGGAAGCAACTCCATTTTGCCCCTTGGAGTTTGGGGTGTACGAGGGGTCCCCGGTGGTTGTTGTGCAAGCATATGCCTTACGTACCCATAGAACGTACATCCAACAAGAGTTATGCCACATCCAATGGCATTCATGGCAGAAATTGGGTTCCTAAAGATCAACCATGAACATGTAACAGCAACAGCAACCTGTGATGCATGACAACAATGATTAACATAGACTATACGGAGCAAGGCTTCAACAAAACAGTACAACTTCTTTATTAGAAGATAGGTGCTAAGCGTATGGTTGATACATAGTATTAATAGGACTGGACAATAGAGTTTCATCAAATATGGGAGGGAAATTGATAATCTTCTGTGATAAGTTTATCGTCTTGCTTCTTTTAACCTGAGGTTCTTGCAAGTTTAATCAATTTACACCTGTATTTTCAACCAATGATATCTTGAACTGTAGCGACCTATATAAATTCAAGATATCTTCGAGCCTGTTTGGCTGAACTTAAAGATAAAGTAGACATACTTATGAGTAACTTTTAAGCTCAGCATGTTTGACTTTTTTAGAGGCGGTTTTGGGAGGATTTATCTCAAAAACTTGCCTCCTAAAAGAAAGATTTATTTACTTACAAGAAAGAACTTTTACTTTTTTCACACTTAGCCAAACAATGCTCGAAGTATTCTGGTCACGTATTACTGATAAATCAAGAGACCTACCCCCAACCTTTCAAAATTTATACAGCCTTCCTAATTTGATAAATTAGTCAATCTCCCCATGGACAGTGTCTAATGTCAAGAAGGGGATACCTCCAAAATATTAATCGGGAACACCTCATACTATTCTTGACATAAGAGTAGAATTATTTCAGAAACTTCCTGATAATTCAGAGACATGAACCAAGTAACAATTGTACTGAAAGCTGAGAAAGTACACTGGATAAACAAAAACAAAATCTGCGACGCTACAATCCACCGATTCCATCCCATTTTACCACTCTACCTTACCAGTTCTCATTGCTCCCCCTTCCTTCACCTATATATCAAATTTTTATCCACCAAAACGACCACTTAATCGTCATGTCCCAGTGCAAAGTCATTGACTTTTGCAATCCCCACTAGAGGAGCACTCCATGTTTGGCTAATCTTAAAAAGAAGTAAAAGTTACTTTTAGCTTCCAAACATGTCTGGATAAGTTGCTCTTTTCTTACTTTAAAATAAAAATATACTTATTTTACAAATAATGTCAAAATATGTAACTTGTTTTCAATTTTGATCAATGAGAAAGTAAAATATTTTTTAACTCTTTACTTATAAGAGAACTTTTTAAGCTTCGATACTCTTTTCTACAGAACTTTTTAAGCTTCGATACTCTTTTCTACTCCCTACTGTTCCTGGAAGTCTTCACCACCAGTCAAGCTTGTCTCNTTTAAGCTTCGATACTCTTTTCTACTCCCTACTGTTCCTGGAAGTCTTCACCACCAGTCAAGCTTGTCTCCAAGCACAGCAAATCATGTAGATTACTTTGCCATCAATTTCCCCATCTACCTTTGATTAAATCCTTCCGCACCATACTTGAATTCATAAATGAAACATACCTAATTTCATCAATCCATGATAAATATTGAAATAGTCTACTAGTTAAGATTAGTAAAATTAGCTTGGAGAAGTAGAGTTGTGGTAGCAAGGCAGGGATTGGTAAGGCAAATTGAGATGAAGGGGGTGTATTCAATTGAGATTTTTAATGACTTTTTGTGATTTAAAAAGTTTAGAGGTATTCAATGTAGACTTTTAAAGACTCTCTAAAAGTGTTGGTGTATTCAATTGAGACTTTTATAAACTTTTAAAAAGTCTCTAAAAGTCACGTTATATTCAATTAAAACTTTTTAGAAGTCTTTATAAGTTTTGGGGTATTCAAATTTTTATAACTTTTAACCCTGAGGGGTGGCTCAATTGGTCAGACTTTGAGTTTGCTCCCCAATGGTCACTAGTTCGAGTCTCCTCAAGGCCACTGAATTGAGATTTTTAATGACTTTTTGTAATTTAAAAAGTTTAGAGGTATTCAATGTAGACTTTTAAAGACTCTCTAAAAGTGTTGGTGTATTCAATTGAGACTTTTATAAACTTTTAAAAAGTCTCTAAAAGTCACGTTATATTTAATTAAAACTTTTTAGAAGTCTTTATAAGTTTTGGGGTATTCAAATTTTTATAACTTTTAACCCTGAGGGGTGGCTCAATTGGTCAGATTTTGGGTTTGTTCCCCAATGGTCACTAGTTCGAGTCTCCTTAGGGCCACTGAGGTGAGTACCCGACCGTAAACTTCAGGGCCCCGTGGAATTAGTCGAGGTGCGCGTAAGCTGGCCCGAACATCCACGGTTATAAAAAAAAAAAATTTTTTTTTTATAACTTTTAGAGACTTTTATAAAAGTGTCCATGGTACTAACTTTTAAGCAGAAAGTACTAAAATAAAATCTTAAAATTTGTTTCTCATTAATCACAAGATTTTGGGAAACTTTCACATAAACAAAAAAGAAATTAATATGTATTTTTTTCAATATTTCTCTTTCATTTTCCTTTATGATTAATTTTTTTTTTATTGATTATATTATTTTCTATTTTCCTCTCTCATAATTCTTTATTTATATTTTCTATGAAAGAATTAAATTGTATTCTTATAACTTTTTTTCTTTTTTCATTCATTTTTCTGAAAAATATTTATTTTTAATTAAATTATAATTTTTTTATAAACTAATTTATAATTAAATTTAAATACATATTATTTATTTATTTTTTAAAGGCATATTATATTAATAATACTGAATATTAAATTTGTTTTTTTCTTATGTATAATAATAATAATTTATTTAATTAAGGTCTTAAATTTTTCTTCTTTTTAAAATATTTTTTTATTATATAGGAAGAAAAGGAAGGAAAAGGGGGAATGGTGAGAAGCATCACCTCGTATGTGATAATTTCATAATATTGCACTAGATCCATGTAAATTCTATCTCAAATGAAAGTTTTCAAAAGTCTTTTAAATTCTACAAAAGTCTCTAAAAGTTTTAAAATGAAAATTTATAAAAGTTTACAAAAGACTTCCACTAATTAAATAAAAAACCCTAAAAAATCCACGAAATCCATATAAGTCATCACTTAAAAAAAAGTTCATCAAAATCTTCAAAAGTCCCAATTGAATACACCCCCCAAACTCGTTTGTGTTCGAAATAAAAAGAAACCAGCAAATTAGCGGTATCCTATCCCCAAACTCGTTGAATCAAAAAGTTGAAGATTGGGGGGAATTTCCACCTACTATTTTCCTTGCTTTCTTCTCTACATTTGTCTTCCAAGCAAACATACCATTAAAGTGATAGTTCATATTTTGGATCATGAGATTTTTCACTTTCTAAATGTTGCTCAAATATTATTGGCCAAATTTCTTTTCCCTAACATGAACAATAAACCGTACTACCTCCCATACAGATCAAAGCATCCCCAGCGTCCATACAAATTTTATCATGAGAAACCCTAATCGGCTGTAATCGTCACTTCAAGAAAATAAGGGTTCCAAAGGCGTAACCCAATGATCGCACTTATCGGGATTTATAGTTTTAAAACAAAGTCAAATACTTAGCAAGTAGTGAAAAATAGGTAATAGATAATGAAATTCAAGAGATGACGTTTGGTATTGATGGATGCGCCATGCTTTATAGAAATTAGAATAAAATTATTATATTACAAAGCCAGATGACAGATGATTTGTTTATTTGACTTTATAATGAAAACTCACTTAGATATGAATAAGAGGTAAATTTTAGGTACAGGATTGTTCATTGACAAGTTACTCGTTATTCAATTAATACAAAAGATTACGCCATGTTTGGGAAGATGGATTAGACGGTACTAGATGGTATTGAAGAAGGAAAATAAACTAAAATCTTGTCCACTGTACCGTTTAGTAATGCATAGCAAACAACCCTTATTATGTCCAAGGTAATGCACGATCTAGAAAGTATAATGACTAAACCATTAGGTCATGAGTTACGCTCTCACCTTAAGATTTCCAGCAACATTGAAGGTCACTGCGGTAGTGGAGTGAATGACATAGAAGATAGAAAAGTTCAAGCAAAATGCCAGCACTCCAGACCCAAAAATAATAACGAGGGAAGAGAAAAGTGAGGGACATGTCTGAATCCATTCCAGAACCCCAGATCCTTCCAGTAGTAAGGCTGGTACAGCCAAAATCATAGTAGCAAAAGGTGCCATGTGATACACTGTGTTTATGCTGCAATAAGCATAAGAACCAATAATGAAGTCAATTAAAGGAAACATAGAATATAAAAAACTATCCATAAATGGATGTATTATTAATAAAAGGCTTTCTCCGCGAAGTTTGGATGCTTTTATTTTCTCATCAGTAGAACCCCAGAGAAAAATTCTATTCATTCCATCCAATTCATTGTGATAACTTCCGATTAATTGTTTGCTATACTCAACATCCACAAGCTGATAAAGCGGATAGACTGACTAAATCCCTGAAAACAATAATTACAACTGAAATACATAACTTTCACAAGACTATTCTTTCCCATTACCAGTAACCTAGTTTGATTCTTTTACTTTTTTCCTTGTCGTCCTACTTTTACATTAAAAAAATACTCATTTAACTATCATCGTGAATGCCATTCATCCTCGGCAAATAGTCATTGGGAAAAATTAACTTGCAAGAGGAGCACAAGACTTCTGAGGAAAAATGTGAGAAGTGAAGTGCACAAAATCTCCTCGTTAATATAATAAATGTGCACCCAAGAAAGTTTGTGTAACATGAAAGTTCAACTATTCTAGATTTAATTCATGTATTTATATAGATTACAACAGGTCACTACTAATATGATAATCAATGAAATAGATCTTCTTGTAAGAAAAAAAAGTCAATCCATCATTAGTTAACATGGTTGAGAATTTATGCACCTGAAGAAAACTTAATCAAGTTCTCTTTCTGAAGAAACACAGTAATTTTAATCAAACTCAGGGAAAAATGACAGTTAAAAGAATTCAATCCCTTTATTCAGCAACAAATAGAAAAACGGAATTCCATTCTTCGTTTACTCATAATAAAAAAGAAAAAAATAAAGAGTTAATTTGTGGTTAATATTGTTAATGTTGTCACTTGTACATTATTTTGTTTTATTTTTTTGGAGGAGTAGAAAGAAAGGGGAACAGAAAGGGAGGAGAAGATGATACCTGTCAAATTTGTAACCATGCAGCAGAGACTCCGCAAGAATGGTCTTTGTTGATGTAGCAAGGCAACCGAACAAAGCAGCACAAAAACCGAACATATTAAAACTGAGCTCTGTGATAGAAGTGAGGAGAATTCCTCCAACAATGGGAACAAGAGAAGCCCAAATTTGCCACTCAAAGTATTTTCTCCAGACTAGCCACTGCAAGATAACTGTTTCAAATGCATCAGAGTCAGATGTACCATTTCTTTTGCTGAGGTAAAACTGAATGAGAGAGAATGTCAATGAGAATGAATAAGATTACGGAGATCGTCGAAGATTGAATAAG